TATTTTATTGAAATATCTGCCTTACCATTATCAGTAATCAGATAACCTGAACAAATAAAAATTTTCAATTTCAACAAAAACAAATGAATCTTACATATTTATATCACAAAACAATAAAAACAAAAATGAGAATGAACTTGGGAAAAACAATTTTGAGGATCTGAAATACCCTCGGAAATACCCAATATTTTATATGGGTGCATCCACTTATTTTTCTTTTGATTTCTCAAATAATTCTTTCAGAGCAGCAAGTTTTTCTCTATGCCGCCTTTCTCTGTTTTCTTCTTTTTCTTTGTGTAATTCTATGAGCACATCCTGAATACTTCGCTTTCTGTTCTCTTTGCTACTTTGGGTTAGGGAGGATGTTGATGGAACTGTAGTATCAAAATTATTCTGTGGCAGTTCAGATTCATTATACCTCTGGGAATTCTGCCTAGTTGGTTTTTCTTTGAGTATGGTAACATTATTCAGACTTCTCAATACTTCAGGCTTTATGCTGTCATCTTGAGAACTTATTCTGTTCAACTCTTCTTCAAAGGGTATCTCAACTGGTTCTCGCCCAGTTTGTCTATTGTTGTCTATTGAATCTTTCTTTCTTTTTAATAAGGTTTTGTATCGATTTTCAGTCTGTTGAGGAGTTAAATCTTTGCCTGTTGATAACTTGATTTCTTTACAGATTTCCTCCCACATACGTTTTTTGTTTTTGAATTTCTTCATTGGTCCCACCATTTTCATATATGTTTCATACCTATCTAACATGAGAAAAGTTTCCTCATCCCCCCATTCACACCGTTTTTTATCCTGGACTTCAGGAGTAGGCTGTTCATTCTCATTAGTATCAGTCTGCTCAGTATCCAAAGGAGTAACATTTGGATAAATAACAGTATATGTCCCATCATTTTCAATCCGTTGAATGGAATTTAATGGGTTGTCCAGAGAAATGAACCCATTGTTTATGAGAGCAAAGATATACTCTAGGGCATAGTTGTTGTCATCTGCAAGAAAATTAAATAAACATAATGAATAATTGCAGTTATTTATCACTGTATCATTACCTCTCAAGGAGATCTCCTCCAGTTCACTTTCTATAAAATCTTTTTCAATATCAATAATTTGATCATTTATTTTGAAACTACACATTTTTTATGTCTAAAGTCCCTTGAAAGGTCAACAAAGTAAATTAAGTAAATTTCAAAATTTTGAATTTTTGAATCAGCTGTTGGGAGTGTTGAATGTTTGGTTTCTTTTAGAGTTTTTGAATGTGTTCCACTGGACATGCATTTTTAAAAAACCAGTGGGGTGTCAGAACAAAACTGAAGCGGTGTCAGTGCAGCACTGTAAAGCCGAGTGGAAAACGCTATTATAGTACTTTCCCTATTTAAATTGTATGGGTGATAGTGACCAAGGGGAGGAGAGAGAGTTATGACAGTTGAGGTTATGGTAGAAAGATGTCCCCCTTGGTTTACAAATCGACGTGTTTTTGCATTTTTTTCACAACACATGTGTCTATAAGATATTCGATCTGTTTCGTTTTCGGTGCCGCACCCTGTATAATATGTGTCCAATTTCTACATACAAATTGTAAATTCATTAAACTAGTAGTTATTCCATTTATACTCCGATCGTAATTACCGGAGTTCCAAACTTTACGACATCCCAGGTATTTTCTAGTACGCTGGCTGCTACTGTTTGACCCCGGTATCCGCTGTAAAAAGTCGTCGGTAACACGTGTTCGCGGGACGCTTGTAATCGGCAAATAACAAACGTTCCGACTGAAGTGGGGAAACTTATTAATTCTGTAAACTTTGCCTATTGATATGAATATTGAATATTTTTTTGACATTCACTCAAATTTTGGGATTTGAGAATTATTTACCAAATACGAGTTTCAAAAATGAATATTCATCTAGGCGACACCTGTATGCCCCCCTGGATTCGTGCCTGGTGCAATTCCGCTTAGTCTAGGTACTCGAGTTATTTTTAGACTAAAACGAAACGCTAGCGATGCACAGTGCAGTGAGCAGTGCGCAGTTAAATTTCAGCAGTAATAGTGTGAACAGCTTGGGCGACAGTCTCTAGAGTCTTCAATTTTCATAATCCTAAGTTCTTTGGTGCGAGGTATTGAGTCTAATAGCGTTTTCCACTCGGGTCACTGGTGCGCACCCTGTCGCACTCAGTTTTACATTCATGTTCCACTGGCAAAATTTGTTTGCATTTTGCCAGTGCTGACAGCAGAGATTACGTTCCACTGGAAAATATTTTCACCCGCGGGGTGCACCGAGGGCAACTCTTTTGCACCGTGTTCAAGAGCTCGAGCGTCAGTCAAATTGCGAATGGAGGCGCGTAAAATTCAAATATTGATGGACCTTTTAGATAGTTCAAGCAGTTCCGATGATGAGGATATTATGAGTTATTTGCTGAGGAACAAAGTATCCAAACCTAAAATTAAGGATTTCATTTCAGACGTGGTGCATAGATTTACAGATTTAGAGGTAAGTTTGATTTTCGATAGCTATACCAACTAGAGTCACTGAATGGTACTCTACCACCAACATCCTTATTAGGTTCTTTTTATGTCTAATATATTTTCCAGTTCAAAAAAAATTTTCGAGTAACAAGAAATACATGTTACCATCAGTTGATAAGTAAATTTGAAAACTCGGACTTTTATCCATCGATTAGGAATCACGGAGGAAGTGAACTGCACTCGGCTGAAACACATTTTTTAACATTTTTGTAGTGAGATTTATTCCATTATTAAACATATGGTTAGTAGTATATACCTATGAAATGTTGTAGGTTTGCAGGAAATAAGTGCTGTTTGCGTGATGTATCCCAGAGGTTTGGAATGGGACTAACATCTGCCTTCAGAATCATCGATAGGGTCATGAACTATCTCAACAGTATTGCTGCTGACATAATCAAATTTCCCGTAACTGATCAGGAAAAATCATCTCTAGCACGAGATTTTTACAAAGTAGGTATTATTAACTTTTCAATGAAATAATTCAAATTTGTTTTCAAGATAATTCTGTAATAATAAGCTATCGTTTCAATTTCAATATTCAAATGGGAAATTTCCAATTTTCGAGTAACTACCAAAATTTTAGTCTTTATTATCTGTACCAATTGTACCTATATTATGAGAGGAGAATGTAGGTGCCTATATGTATTTTATTTCCTCCATGCATTTTTGCAATTTCTCCGCCCCCACTTTTCATTTTCTATTTCCATTCTTTTCTCACAGAACAAAAAAATATCAAGGTTCAATATACAATGTGGGTATGGTATAAATTCGATATTCCTAAACTCAGTCTTTTCAAAAAAATCCGATCGAATTTCGACTAATTTTAACTTTGATGTTCTATATTTTATACCACAAAATTTCATTTTACAGGGTGATACACATTAAGAGGTGATGACGTCATCACATTATTGTGTATCACCAGAGATGTATCACCCTGTGTAATGAAATATTGCTATTGAAAATAGAACATTGGAATTGAAATAAGACGTGTTTAGGATTTTTTTGAAGAGGCTCGGGAAACGGACACATTGTAGATTGAAACATGTATAGAGACTATACTCTGAAAGTGCTACTTCAATTCAAAAAAGCTCATTGAGTTTCTGAAAAATCATCAAATTGTAACTTTGCATCTAAGCTATGTATATTACTCATGTCAAAAAAGGATGATTTCAATGATTTAGAGTAATGATTGTATTCAATAACTATATTCCAGACATCTTTATTTCAGGTATCAGGTTTTCCAAATGTGATTGGATGTATTGATGGTACATCCATACATGTGAGAACTCCTGCAAAAAAAGTAAAATTAACATATGTTAAAAGGAAATTCTTGGACGTTTTCATTGGTGCACCTGGAAAAATACATGATGCTCGTGTATACAAACTGTCTTTCATATCCAAGAAATTACCACAAATTTGTGGGAATACATATCACTTACTTGGAGACAGTGCTTATCTCATTCGAGAATGGTTATTGACACCTTACAGAAATTATGACAATCTCACTGAAGATCAAATTTTTTATGGAAAGAAGTTTTCAGCTACAAGAGTGCTAATTGAAAACACCTTTGGGATACTGAAAGGAAGGTTACGTCAGTTACAAAGACTCGAATTACATAATGTCGACAAAATAACAAAATTCATTCTCGCTTGCTGTGTCATTCATAATATTTGCATAGAAAATGATGATTTTTTTGAAGAATGGACACCTGGCGTCCAAAGAAATGAATTTAACAATGACATGGAACTTGGCAGAGATGCACTATTGAAGCAAATGGGTGAAAATAAGAGAGATGTGATTAAGGAGTGGCTGAATGGATAATGGATATCCTTTGAGTTGGAATTAATAATTATGTATATCCCTGAAAGGTCTGTACAAAATGTTAGCACATATTTCTGAGATCAAAATAAGCCGATCTGAAGCAACTTAACTCAGTCCGAAATTGCTCTGTTTCCGAGATACAGGGTGGTGAAAACGTGAAGACACTCCAGGAAGGTATTTTGAAAAACCCATTTTTGTACTGCTATAATTCACTCACCAAATTACATCCACGAAGATGAAAGCAAACTTTTTTATTCAAAATAATTTAAATATTTCATTGCTGCGTCGAACACTAAAAATTGAAATATCTGGAAACCGGCTAACTTTGGTGGATGTTCACAGGAGTATCTTTTTTGCTTGAAAATGTTCATTAAATTATTTCTTTAACAAACGAAGTAAGAAACTACACTGAGAAAAAAGTTATGACCATTCTAATCCATAAGAAGCGCCCTCTAATGGTCACATTGAAAAGGTGTTCGTCATCTCAAAAAACCCCTGGATATTAATTTTTGACGTAATACACGTGCCAAAATTCGATTTTCATTCTTCAACTTCACCACCCTGTAACTCGGAAACGGAGCAATTTCGGACTGAGGTAAGTGGCTTTGAATCGGCCCATTTTGACCTCAGGAATATGTGCTGAGATTGTGTGCAGACCTTCCAGGGACACCCTGTAGATAGAAAAATCGTATCAATTAGTTTTATGAAATGTTCAAGAGCCAAAATTAATATAATTTGTTTATAAAAATAAAAGTATATATAACAAACTGCAATGAACATAATTTATTTTAATATTTGATTTGAACCATGAAGATGGATTTGAAAATCCATCACTAAATACAAATTCTTTAGGGAACACAATTCATCTGATTGTTACAAAAGTACCCTCATAACTATACCTATACAGGGGTGCCCTACAGGTTGATTCAAACCTTTGAGGAGCCGACAGAAGATGCCTTTGGGAACATATTTGCACTTATACCTAAGCACAAAGTCTTGTGGCATTCTAGATAATCATCATTTTGGAATATTTGATGAAGTTTTGAACACATAATAGTGAATTTTTCTTTTTGTTTTTCTACTAATACGTTACAGTGATAAGTATTTCCTCTATTGAATAATAATTTCGTATCTGAATATAGTTCAAACTAGATGATCTTGTATGTCTTTGAACAGAGATAAATGTGGCTGAATTGGTTCCAAATGACATCTCCTGTTAGCTCCTATAAGGTTTGCACCGATCTGGAGGACACCCTGTATATCAAAAAAATATTTGTTCTGTGTAACAATTATTATCAAAAATTCCTTTAGTGTTAACTCAAGTAACTCAACATTTATTTATTTTGCTGTTCCAAAAACTTTTCCAGCATTTTCATCTTTTCTTTGTGTCTTCTTTCCCTAGCCTCTTCTTTCTGCTTGGAAATATCCATCAATACCTCCTGCACACTCTTTTCCCTTTTCCTTTTCAATGATTTTTGATCATTTCCTGGCTTTTCAGCCGTTTTCACATTTCTACTATCTCGTAGTACTTCGGGTTCAATGCTGTCATCAAGTGCAGCAATTTTTGCCAATTCTGCTTCGTATTCTACTGGTACTCGATTGCGTCCTGTCTGATTATTGTTATCTACAGCTTTTTTCTTTCTTTTCAATATTGTTTTATAGCGATTTTCACACTGAGTCGGTGTTTTTGTAATATTTAATATAGTCTTAATATCTTTGGATATCTGTTGCCACATATCCTTTTTTCTCTTGAATTTCTTCATCGGTCCTACGTGTTTCAAATAGGATTCATACTTGTCAAGCAGAAGTCTGGTCTCTGCTTCACACCATTCATTATCTAAAACAATTTACAACATTGAAAAGAGGATATTACCTGAATTTCTATTACCTGCTTACTTCCGTCTGACTTGTGACCCCTATTAGTGGGCCCAGCGATAAGGTTTTTTTCACCTAAGATGTAATATTCTCGGTCTCGCATTCTTCTGGGTCTTCGAGTTGGGGGTCTTCGGTGTATTCAATCTCATTGCAGGAGTCATTACCATCAACGCAATGCGAATCGAGGTAATGTTGCTCAACTTTATCTAACGGTCCCATCAAACCGCATTCTCCGCATGTAGATAATGATGCAAATTCATTATTATCGGCGAAACAAGACATTTCATAGGATTAAAATTATTATATTATGCATATACAATTGATTGAGCTGACGTTATGTCAAAACTGCAGTGACGTATTGTGTGACTTGCACGCGTACATTACCTTACGTACAGGGTATCCCAATTTGGGCACTTTTGCGGGGTATCTCCCTTATCAGTAAAGATAGAGCATTGCGGTTTTCGCGACAGTGTGCTACTTTTTTATGAAATTAATAATGGCGCAAGCAGAATTGTGATAGCTCTTCCGGTTGTCGAGATACAGGGTGGAATTGAAAAATATCACTTTTCAGGCACCCTCCGTGTCTCAGTTATCTTTGAACTTATCGAAGAAGTTAAAACTTGTTTTTATAGAGTTTTTCTCGTAGAATCCAGTGGCGTAATTATTTTTTTGCTAGCACCTTTTGTTTTTTAGTTATGGAGCAAACATGTTTTTTTAAATGGAACACCCTGTATATTATTTCATATATACATTGAGCATGAAGTGGGCTTTCCAAAAATATATAAATGTAGACAATTATTTTCCATTTAAAAAAACATATGTTTGCTCCATAACTAAAAAACAAAAGGTGCTAACAAAGAAATAACTACGCCACTGGATTCTACGAGAAAAACCCTATAAAAACAAGTTTTAACTTCTTCGATAAGTTCAAAGATAACTGAGACTGAAAAGTGATATTTTTCAATTCCACCCTGTATCTCGACAACCGGAAGAGCTATCACAATTCTGCTTGCGCCATTATTAATTTCATAAAAAAGTAGCACACTGTCGCGAAAACCGCAATGCTCTATCTTTACTGATAAGGGAGATACCCCGCAAAAGTGCCCAAATTGGGATACCCTGTACATTGTACGTTCCACTGACATTGGTCTGGCATGATGCACGATGCCCTCACGAATTTCGAGCATGAGGTCTGCTGCTAGTGCTGCACCCACAAAAGTCGCACGCAGTGTAGCCGAGTGGAAAACGCTATAAGAGTGTGTTGGTGGAAATTATGAAGTCGGTAAAAGTGGAAACTCTTTTGAATGAGTTAGAGATGACACATTTATTTGTGGAAATACATTATTATTATTATCATTATTATACCATGTCTTCAAACTGGGAATACAAATATTAATATTGATTGAATATCTATCTCATAATCACAAGTATAACATTATTCCAATTTTGAGAAGAATGTGTCAATCTATAGACATATAAGGTCATTGAAAATGAACATACAGTATTTCATGAAAAAGCATATAATTGTATCATAAAACTAACTATTTTTTATTGCTGTCACATAAAGTACCAGAAAGTTTGGTAAACTGTACAATAATTCTGGTTATACCTGCTATCTATTTTTCTCCGTGTACCAAAAATACAGCGAGAGACGAAGGGATATGATTTTTCAGGTAAATAGTAATTTCACATAGTTTTCATTATGAAATTCGTCATTTCTTATTGAAATACCTTCTGCCACTTCTGCAATAGAAGCTAATAGGTACTGCTAATAAATTGAAAATGTCTACAACACACACCATCATATTTCGTCAGCATGCCAGACCAGTCCTCCCGTTCAATTGCATGAATCCAATCTTCTTGCATTCTTTTACAAATTTCACGAGTGCTCCTATTGCAGAAGGAATTCCTATGAGAAATCAGAGAAATTACCAAATTTTAAAATGAAACCTATGCGAGTGACTATATAGTAGGTACGGTCGTATTCAATAAAAAAGCGTACAAGTATTAAAAAGAGAGGATTTCGGGATCCTAGTTCTCGTTGTGTGAAACGGGCTCAGCCAATGCTTTGTGTTTTCGAGAACCTATGACAACTTCACTGCCAACATTTGGTGAACAATCATTCCCGATAGCCCGTTTTATGTAGAATAGGATGACGATAATTTCTCTCTGTACGCTTTTTTTCGAATGAGACTGTACCTACTTTCAAATCATAATGTATCAACCGGATTCCTTCGTCTCTCGCTGTATTTTTTGTGCATTGTACAACAGCACAATGTGATGGCATGTGCGAATCAATGAATAGCCGAAAAACACGATTCGTATGCCAAAATAATTGTGAAAAATTATTTCAATCATTTGTGAACAAATAAAAGAAGTGAGGTTATGTTACAATGTTTCACCTCCAGGGTCGGTCATCTGACAGTTCTTGCACGCAACACTTTCTCTGCCGTTTTATCAATTTCCACACAATTTATACACCAGAGAATCACAAGAAACGCGGTTACTATAATCTGACAGGTACGACGTCGAATTAATGTCAACGTCACTCTGAGTGGAGCGGTTCGACCGCGAAACTAAAAAAATATTAGACTATTATCAAAACACAAACAGATATTGAGACTTCTTTCGCTCAGCCACAAAATATTTCGCAAGAGCAGTTTGATCACCGAATCATCCACTTCATTACACATTCAATGAGCGCAGATTCTGTAATCAGTAACCCATATTTTGTGCAGTTATTTGATGGAATGAAACTAAATGTAACGTCTAGATCCACAGCTATGAAAAAAATTTATCTTTTGAAAACAAACTTGGTTGAAGAAACCAGAACTTCTTTTGGAAACAGTCAGTTAGTATGTTGTACAGCTGATATATGACATCTAAAAAAAGGAGTCTTATAGAACTTACATGTCATTGGATTGATGCAGAGTCCTTGGAAAGAAAATCAGTGGGTCTAGCATGTAGGCGTTTTTCTGGTACTCACTATTTTGATAAAACTGGAGAGATGCTTGAGAAAAGCTATACTGAGTTTGAACCAGACGTTACCAAAATATTAGGTACCGTCACAGATAATGGGTCAAACTTCGTGAAGGCCTTCAAAGAATATGGCATACAATTGGAGACGCGCCTCCTCTCAAACACAATACCAAGTATTTATGTTGATGACGATGACAATACACAAGAATCATAGTTCAAGATCCAAGCACACAAACATAATCAATCAAGTGTACGCAACTGTGGAATGAATCAGGCCGTCCAAAATCAACAGAGGAAGAAGGTGCTAGGGCATCATCTTAGCTACACCAGTGCTACTAGGTGGAACAGTTTCTACGACTCTTTGAAGCAAATTTTGAAACAAAAAGAAAAATCAAATACCTTGTACTGAAGAATAGGCACAACAAATTATAGCCTAAGGTAACGAGAGAGATTATTTGAAAGAATATGTAACTATACTAGAACCTTTGGCATTAGCCATAGACACTCTTCAAGGAGATAAACATACATATATTGGAACACTTCTGCCTACCATAGGAAGTTTACATGTCAAATATGAGAAAATCAGATCTCTAAACCTACGACATCTCGGATTCTTGATTGATGTACGTATTCGTTTCATTGAATCTCGGTTTTCTGTATATCTCAAATAAACCGGCCAATCAGAGATGGCTGATAGCCACAACACTAGTACCAATATTAAAGCTAAGATGGCTTGAGTGTTTCAAAAATATGAGCTTGATCATTCAAGAAAATCAAGTTAAAAATATGATAATCAACGCTGCAAAGGTATTTATAACTGAAGAATAATGAGGTAGATGCCTTATTTGAGCTATAACAGCCATTGCAGATATCTTTGAAGAAAATGAACACCAACATTTTGCCATTAACGAATTCGAATTACAGTTGCTGCAGTACCTACAGGATCCTTCCAATGACATTAATATTTCACACAAATATAGTGTGTTAAAAAAATGTTTCTCAAAATGTAATTGTATATTACCTTCCTCGGCTCCAGTGGAGAGAATGTTCTCTTATGCCACATTTATAAATTCACCACGTCGACACGCATTAACTGACAAAAACTTTGAGAATATTGTTCTGTTGAAAGCTAATACCACTTATCTGAAATGAATATCACAATGACATATTCATATTAAATATATAGTTTAGTTTCTATGTATCGCTGCTATATTGTTTATTCATGGAATTGTTTTTAGTTCTATTTATTAGATAGACATTGACGATGTCTCGGTTTTTCAAAGCAGGGTGTTCAAAATTGAGATTTTCCAATTTTATATCTTTGTAATCATTCCAGCTAGACCCCAAGTGTAATGCATTGATGAAATCAGCTCTTCAGGATGAATCTAAAAATGAAATAAAATACAGGGTGCTCCATTTGGAATAACGAAGTTGCCATTTGTTTCTGATAGAAGTGGCAACACTGTATCGACGAAAATATTTTAGACGCATAGAGAATGTTCAATTATCAAAGCATCCCAATTTTCAGAATGTTCTGTCTTCTCGTTCTTCAGATACTTCTGATAGGCCATCCATCGCGGATCACCCTGTACATGTTTCATGCCAGGAAATGTGTTCGAATGTTTTTATTTTTGAGAACTTCCACAAGATTTTCCACTGCCCATAAGTAGTAAGACAAAGAGAGCCACAGCTCACATAGGGCTTTACCTATTGGGACTTCTAGATCATGATCTAGAGTTCCCAATAGGTAAAACCCTATGTGAGTTGGAATTCTACTTTTTCACAAAATGCTAACATGTAAACCCCTATGTGAGTTCGTAACCTAAAGAGAGAACTAAATCACATAGGCCTTTCAGTACTTGTACTTGATTTAGAAATCGAAGTACTGAAAACCCTATGTGAGTTGGAATTCTACTTTTTCACAAAATGCTAACATGTAAACCCCTATGTGAGTTCGTAACCTAAAGAGAGAACTAAATCACATAGGCCTTTCAGTACTTGTACTTGATTTAGAAATCGAAGTACTGAAAACCCTATGTGAGTTGGAATTCTACTTTTTCACAAAATGCTAACATGTAAACCCCTATGTGAGTTCGTAACCTAAAGAGAGAACTAAATCACATAGGCCTTTCAGTACTTGTACTTGATTTAGAAATCGAAGTACTGAAAACCCTATGTGAGTTGGAATTCTACTTTTTCCCAAAACGCTAACATGTAAACACCCGTATGTGAGTTGGTAACCTGAAGAGAGGGACAGATCACATAGGGCGTTACTTCAACTCATGATCTAGAGTTCCCAATAG